AAACAGGAGAAGAATTAAAATACTAGAAATTTCCCAAAGCTGATTTATCAAAACAGAGAAAGAGGTGGGAGATATACGTATTTACTGAGTATTTTAGTTAAATAACGAGCAGTAAATGGGGCCAAAATTATTTGATGATATTGAGGTTGTGACATGCTATGTACGCCAATAATAGATATATTAGGCGCTGTGCTATTGGCAATGGAAGGTGGAACATCAGCATGATGGCTGATTACTGCTGGTCATTGAAACAAGATGCTCCAGACGCAATATATAAAAGAAAGGTCAAACACGTAGTTTTGAAACTAAAAGACGCAGACTTCACATCAGGATGAATGAGGAAGCATATTCGTTTGACATCAATGTTTTTCCTCAGTTTGTTTGTATTTTTGTTAACAAACATAATAATATAAAATGTTCATTGTTGTAAACGAAATAATATTTGATCTAAGTAAGAGTGTTGTATTTTTTTTCCATCCCGATTTGTAAAAAAATCCTTACGTGATAGAAAAAAAATAAATATTATTTTCGAAATCTGCGTAGATGAATTATGGAAAATCCGTTATTAAAACCAAAACAACTTTTAAGAAGTTTAAATTCGTAGGTCTGTGTAAAAGACATATTAGACGCTATACTATTGGGAAGAGTTGCTTCTTGCATAAATGAAGAATCGCCTGTCCCACAGTTCTAGTTAGTTTCTCTAGATAGTCAAAAAGATATTTTTAACATAACATTCGTATTGTATTTATGTAGTATAATATAGTATAATTAACTATTAGAAGTTTTACGATCATACAACTTTTATATTTAGTATGGAATTTGAAATGAATTCCACCAATTTAGTTTCTTATAATTCGAAATTCAACACTTTATAACAACTATTTCTTAAACTTGTTTCTGAGTCAGATACTTATACCGTTAACCGAATCAAAAAAGTAGTTTAAATTATTATCTAATATAAATTCTTCAATTCGACTGCCCAAAAATAAGTTTCGTTACTTGCGGTGGGCACAGCACAAATAGCCCATTTGTATATCTTTGTGCTTAACAATAAACAAACCAACAAAATGCGTACGCCTGTGCTGTGATGTGTAACCACATAGTTTGTTAAATATCGTTTATAAGGAAGCTTCAGATTCAATGAGGATATTTCTGAGCAGTAAATCAAAGTGGTGTATAGCTAATCCAGAGTCAGGGTTACAACAAAACTAAGAAGTGAAAAATAAAAAATAAATCACGTCACTTTAGATTTACTTTGTTTATCAAAAAGAAAGACTAGTAAAAATCTAGAAAGATTTTATATGTTTAAGATCATACATGTTTCAAACTACAACATTATTATATAGTAATAATAATAGAAGTTTGTTTACAAAAGTACTGGGTTTTATTCAGAACGAATTAAATATAGTATTTAGTTCACAGGTAGCATGTGAACAACTTTGAGTCTACAGGGAACAACAAACTTGATAGATATTGACGAAGATTTGATATTTTCAGAACATTCCGGTAGATGGCAGCTCTTTTCAAAGGCTGAGAATGACCGGGTATAGTTTGGTTTTCCTCAAACACAAACTTCTACAATGGGCTATTTGTGCTCTTCTCACCATGGGTATCGACATTTTTTATTTTTTAGCGCCATATGCCTGCAGATTTAATGCTGAGCCACTTGAGGGCAAAATAACCAGAGAAAACGTTCAGGAACTATCAAATAAAATGTCTTTTAAATTATATTTTTACCTTGTTGAATTGGCTTCATTCACGATTGCTATAGGTTTTTTATATATAAACTATATGTGTACATTTATGATTCTAATAAAAAGTAGTTATTGCAGACATTATAAAAACGAATGATCAATAACTGGGTGTAAAGGCAGAAATATGTTAGCTTTGGTTACGTAATAGACTGCATTTACCTGGAAGTTTGTGGTGAATAACGTTTCACGTCAAGACCATCAGAGACCGAAACTGTAAGATTCCAGAAGATGCAATCTGTTAAGCATTCGTCGTTATTAAGATATACTCTGCCAAAACCATTCTTCAAACGCAATTTTCTTTTTGTATGTTATAGTGAAAATAATAAGTAAAACATATTGTTCGCTATAATATTGTTACGTCTCCGTTTGTTAATTAACTTTCCGTAACTTCGTTCCGATGAAACTTTAGCGACACAAGTCCTTACTTAATAAAACTGGTTTATTCTTTCCGAATACAACTTTACGATACACTTATTTTCAACAATTGCGCTAAAACAAACGCTATATCAACGAACGTCAACAATACTTCTGACTGCAGTTCAATTA